AGGAAGTCTAGTCCTGCCAAGAATGTAATAAGGGTTAACGGAAAGGCAGTTTCTGTAAGCAACACCAGAATGTTTCCTTCCTGCTTTCCTTACAGGATTAGGCCAGTAATTTCTTCTAACAACCGGTTCTCCAAACTGCTTAGAATGTTCTAGCGAATAGGTGCGAACTGGTAGAATCCCACCCCTGCTTATGAGGAAATATAACTGAAGATATTTTACTCTGTTCTGAGGAGATGGCCTTCTAGCTAATTTCTCTTTCCTTCCTCCCTTAAGTGTGCTAACCTAAAGGGGAAGATTGCTGAAGCAGAAGACCAAGGTGAACTGGCACTCAAAGACGCAAAGCAGAAATTGGCTGAACTGGAGGATGCCCTTCAGAAAACCAAGCAAGAGATGGCCAGGCAACTCAAGGAATACCAACAGCTAATGAATGTGAAGCTCTCCCTGGATATTGAGATTGCTACCTACAGAAAGCTCCTGGAAGGAGAAGAATATCGGTCAGTGACAGCCCATCTAAGTAGAATCTTTACAGATCTGTACAAGTCTTTCTACTGAAAGTCTACCTTTTTACTATTATTACTTTAATAATGAAATAATGTGTATGGTGTGGGCTCCAGGTGCCTTGGGTTCAGTCCACAATCCCCCCCCATAAACAATCCCATTCCCATTAGCGTCTGGTTCTGTGGGCATAGTGAGTCTTTTTCTCCTGAAGTTCATCCTTCAGTGTCTCTAAGGTCTTTGCAACAATAGTCATACAATATTAGTTTTCTTTCAGTTAACAAGGATACATTTGAATTCTTACCATGTTGACTTCTGTTTTGTTTCCTGCAGATTGGCAAATGATGCAGCAGATGCAGTGAACATCTGTAAGTATACTGAAGAATATTCACATCATAAGACCTTTGCTGTAGAGTGGTGATTAAGAGGCTCATTGCCTCTATTTAGATGAAGAGAACTGTACTTTGTGCTGTCCTCCAACTCTCCTGCCCTGCGTCTCCCCCTACAATTGTGAGTTTTGTGATTACAACTGAAACAATTACACTTAGCAGCAACACAGCAAAGTTCTTGGTGTGTTAATATGCCAAATATAGTGCCACAGGCATGTGCTGAAAATCTGCATCTATAAACATTTTAAACACCCTGTAGAATGCCATAGGACAGAATTCAACCAATTTTTCAGAAAAAAGCAAATTTGTAGGGACTCTGATCATCACCAAATCTCACAACATATTAGTAATTTCATCCTCAGATCTCATATGACCTTGGAATTCTTGCATTTGATCTCAAGCGAGATCATAATACCCTTTCATCTGACCTTTGGCACCATTGACAAGTAAAATAAATAAAGAGGTTTTAAAATCATTTCATTTTGGGGAAATGTTTGAAGGTCCCATTTTAGGAAGGATGGACTGGACAGAGTCCATAGAGGGAGTACCCTTCTCATAATTTCTACAAAGGTGCTGCCTTTCTTAGAACGGAAAATGCCCAGATTCTTCTCTGTCTCTTCTTTTCACAGCTG